GGCGGGGCCGAGCCGGGAGGCGATGGAGGCAGCACCTATCCGGCCGCGGGGCTGCGCGGGGCCCGGGCAGGTGGCGGCGGCGCCGGTCAGTCACCGGGAAACGACGGAGGGGGCGTTTAACTGTTCGGGCTGGAGATGCCCCACCGCCCCGCAGCGGTTCCCGTTCAGGCCCTCCGAGCCCGCCGCGGTGGCGCCTGCCCCGGTCCCCGCTCACCGGACGCCCTCAGGTGGAGGCGAGCGGCGGCCGCTGTGCCCGTACCCGGCGGGGGGCGGCGGCGGGAGGGCGGGCCCGTTACCGCGGCGACGCGGGCCCGGCCAGGCGGCGCCTCCAGCCGGTCGCGGCGGGCTGTGAGGGGACATCGCGGGGCCCGCGGCCTCCCCCGCTGGCACAGCCGGGGCACCCCCGGGCGAGGGTCCGCGGTCGCTGCCGCCTCAGGCCTGGGGACCGGGCTCAGCGGAGCGAACGTTGTGGGGGGGGACAGGCCTGGAGGTGACAGCCAGGCGCCTTGTTAGGACGCGCTGCAATCACTAGAAACTCTGAAAACCGCAGCAAAGACCGGGTGTTTATTTTGCACTGGTTCGTAGCACGGACAGAGCCCAACGGGCTCGTGGTTGGCGGGGCCAGGGGGACCCTCCCGGAAGCAGAGCGGGGCGCGGGTGGAGGGGCGGGGGGGGTGCGGGGAAGGAGCAGCCATCGCGCCCCGCAGCCTCATGCTGAGGTGGCCGCACGCCCGCCGCTCTGTGCCCAGCCCCGGGGCCGGGGGGGCGGGCAGGCCCCTGCTCCAGAGCCGGCTGATGCCCTCGGGGCCGCATGTCCCTCAGGGTGAACGGAGAAAGCCCCCAAAGCCCCACCGGCTCCCTGCCTCCCCCGCACCGCAGGCGGGCGGGGGGGTGCCCGCGCCGGAGCTGGGAGGAAGGGGAGATGGAGGTTATCGATGAGAGGGGGCCCAGAGGGCAGCCCCGAGGCCGGGCAGGACAGCCTGCTGTCAGAAGGGGGGTTATTCACTGCATAGATGGGTGTCGGTGTTTGTGCCAAGCCTGCTTATGATGTGGTGTGGGGGGGAAAAGAGCCACGATGGCCAATCAGTGATTTTTCTAATTTATTATAGCTTTAAATATGTATTATGATAAATTCAATTATTATTATAAATATGTGTGTATATATATACAAGGAACAATTTGACTGTTTTGTACCATACAAAGAGCACGTAGCACAGGAGATAATCTGCAAATTCATAGAATTGGAGAATGGTTTGGGTTGGAAGGGACCTTAAAGCCCCCACAGTCCCACCCCCTGCCCTGGGCAGGGACACCTCCCACCAGCCCAGGTTGCTCCAAGCCCCCTCCAACCTGGCCTTGAACCCCTCCAGGGATGGGGCAACCACAGCTTCTGGGGCCAACCTGGGCCAGGCTCTCACCACCCCCACGCCAAAGAAGTTCTTTTCCAAGACTCATTTTGTGTATGATCTCTTTCCAAAATACATTGTTGTTTTTCTCAGCTCATGACTTGCCTTCAGCTGATGGGTTTGAATTACTGAGTCAGTGTTCCAGGCTTGCTGACAAATGGATGACGGCTATTCTAGAGAGCTTAACAGCAGCGGTGATAATTTTGGAGATGAACATCTCAAAAAGAGAAATTCATCTGGTTCCAATTCATCAAAAGAGATCAGGAAAGCTGTTGAAGAGTGTCTCTTAGCATCTTCAAGTACTCTTGATATCAGCAGAAAAAATATTAAGCATCTTACTGAGGAAATATATAGGCTGCCCAACATAAAGGTGAGTAAATTGTTATGAGTAGTTCTGGTACCCTTGACTTAAGTATAGCACAGAGGAGTCAAGGGCTAGTTGCTTTGTCAGATGAGTGGAAAGGCTGCAGATTCTTAGCTATGATCTTTAATCCTGGTGGTTTGTTTGTTTTACGGAAAGTTCCTTTAATAAATCACTTCTATATGTAATTTAGTGTTGTGTATCCTTTACTCCCCTTTCCACAAAAATGTAGAGCAATTTACAGTTTTCAGATTTGACATTTTGCATGCCAAGGAATAGCCCCTCTCTTTCTGGATTTAAAGCATGTTTATGTTTTTCTCTCTTAGCACTTTCATCTGGAAGGAAATGTCGTATCAACGATTCCCGAGGATTTATTTCAGAAGCTGCCACATCTCGTTTGGCTGGATCTCCGGTATAACAAGATTAAAGCCCTTCCTCCTGGAATCGGTTACCACAGGTAAGATCATTGGTCATACAGATAATTTAATAAGAATTGTATTTGTCTTCTGTTTGCCTTGCTGTAATTTCATTGTAACAGTCAGACTTATATGTTTTTGTTCAGCACTGACCTCCGTGCAGGAGAGTGGCAAATAAGCTTCATTTTGTTTACTAAAACTCAGATGAACTGAAAGGTCCAATTAATATTCCACAGTGAATTTCTAAACTCTTTTACCCTCAGAAATGTAAGACCTGTTAGTCTCTTAATGGAGATTTTTGTGCCATTTTCACTTATTGATTGTACATGAGGTGAAAACAGGGGCCCACAGTCACAAACCTTGTGTCACTCCGAAGTGACAATGCGGGAGAGTTTAGTCAAAGAACGTTACCCATTAATGTGGTTTTGGTGGCTGTTTGACATGGTATAACTGTTGGGAGGATGAGCTGGCTGTCACCAGTTCAGATGGCATGTAGGAGGAAGAAAGAACTCTGTGATGCCGTGACCCTGAGAAGTGACTTGCTCTCACCTTGCCATCATCACGAAACTAACTTCTCACCAGGGTTTTAATGTCCTTGGGCAATTCCTTGCTTCTCCCTCCAGAAGTAGAAGACCACAACTCACAATGGATGGTAATTAACAGGAACAAAGAAACGGGTTTCTTACTGGAAGGAAAAAAAAAAAGACCAACACAGCACAGTTTGCTTGGAGTTGTGGTTCTAAAAGAAACCTTTCTGTCAAGAGTTGAGTGAGGAGGAAAAGGAGGCAACCCTTGAACAGTACGTTACAGAATTTTCCAAAATAAAAATAAAAAAACCCAAACAATATTATGGCATCTTGTGATTGAAACAAGATCCTGAAAAGTATTTTGAGATCACTTGTTTGTGAATCATTATATATTCAACTTGTGATTAAAAAATACAGTAAATGAGTGTTATGCTTCTAAAAATAACTGAAAAATGTTAAGTTCAATCATGTTTTCAAATCTTTCAACTACAGCTTTCATAAATGATTTTTAAATTGGACAGGACTGACAGTATTTTCATATGGCTTATAATTTATATGATCATCATTGTATTTGTGGTTGAAATTCTTTGAGACTGAGACATGCATCCGAGTGCATCTTCCCCAAAAACAATGTGCCAGTCATTAGTCCCTACATGTATTATGTAGAAGTAGTCACTGACTATGACTTAGTTGCATTTTATTCTTATTCCATGTTGGAGCATATGCAATATTTTAAAGGTGTTTGAAAATTCTCTGGCTGTCCTTTTCTAGTAGCAGCCAAAAGTGTAGTTTTCATCAAAAGCAGAGACTCATTGAAACACTGTGCTAGTTTGGGGCCCGATCGATTGAATTTTTCACTGATTTTAAGAGATAACTCTGATTAGAGTTTCTCCAGGTGAAACAGACACACTGCCTCAGTTCTGGAATGGTGCCTCCCTCCCTAGCACATGAATGCAGTGCTTTCAGTTTTTTTGACTGAATTGAAATGTTTTAAAATACTGCCACAAATGTTAATCCGGTGTTGAGCAGCTGCCAGTGTGTTTGGTTTGTTTTTCTTTCCTAGAGGTAAAGAAATATTATGACAGAAACTACCAAGCTTTCTTCTTGTTTGGTGTTTTTTTGTATTTTAACAGTAAACATGTCAGACTGCAACAGCAGTAAATAAAAACCCATTAACTTTTCTGCTAGGATATTTTTTTACTTACGGTATGGACAACACCTTGTCTGTAGAATACCATTTGACCTGGTATGTTGCTGGCTATGAAAAGCTATTTAAAGTAAAGGTATTAAAATGGCAAAATGAATCGGTAAAGAAATGAGGGAGTAGAAAAAGTATAGTTTCTGTCTGTTCTGGGTTCCATGGCTGCCTGGGAGCAGTGGCTGGGTGCTGCGTCTGGAGGAAGGGTCCCTGTGTCCTCAACACCCAGTGGCTCCGAGGTTCCCACCAGAGACGCTCGGGCCAGCAGTGAACACAGCAGCTCTGGGCATTTTACTGGCTAAACAATACCGGTTGTTTGCCGAGCACAGCCAGGCTGACGTTTTTTCAGAAGCTGAGGATTTGTCTAAATGGTAGCACATTTTCAGATGCATCAAAACAATATTATTTTGTATGTGACATAAATGCCATAAATGTTGTATGTGGCCCACGACAAGTTTCCAGGCTGCTTCCAATAATAGGAACACAAGACGTTTTTTAAAAAAGAAGTTGATGACATTAAATACAAATAGGGCATATTTCTTTCTAATCTCATTATCAAAAATGGCTGAGCAGTTTTAGCTCAAATTTAGCCTGAGGAACGCACTTCACAACCCAAACAGTTGAAGCTCAGCAAGATTATAAACAACAGAAAAGGGTGTGTTTATAATTAGAACAGTCAGTATCAGACTTTAAAGTGATAAGCAGGATTTGCAAAAAAAGATCAAATACTAAAATTGAAGTAGTATGTAATAAATGGGCATAAATGCAAACTTCGGACTGTCGTACCAGAAAGCTTTTTCGGCATTGATGTCAGCAATGGAGAAGTCTGGGTTTGTCTTGTGGGGTCCTTTCTGTAGTAGGAAACAAAAGCAAGATAAAAACTAAGGAGGAAAAATATTTTTGTGTTTCTATTTAATTAAATGAACTTTGCTCTTACAATTGCTACTCTTTTTTTCTATTTTATTGAAAAGGCAATTGAAAACTCTGCTTTTAGAAAGGAATCCTATAAAAGAGCTGCCCACAGAACTTGGTAAGTGCTCGCTTCTTTTTTGAAGAAACCGTAGACAGTTTTGGGTTCTTGGTGTTTAATTCTATGGCTAGACTTTAAATTACTTTTATATTTGTCTAGAGAATGGTTTTAATTTACCACAAACATGTGCTATGAGAGGGGGGAAAATTACTGATGTTGTTTATAATGATTGCCTTCATTGATAAGAGGAGAAAATTTTATTAAACTGCCTGTAGCATTCTAGTCAGAAATGTTCAATATTGTTTCTCTGAGTAAGGCTGAAGCAAAAGCCATGTCTCAGATGTCAGACATCTCAGGCATCTGTGTAGTCAGACCTAAATAACTAAATGTGATTAGAGCTGAGAACTTCCACAGCAGTTTTTTACACTCAAGGTTGTCTTTACAGTTGGTAACTTCATTTTACTAACTCTTTTTGCATTAGCAGTTACTGCTTTGAAATAACAAATGTTTGCAAATCAAATGTTCCAAAGGGAGACAGAAGAGGTTGCATCGATTCCTGGGATGGTCCAGCTGGGACTCCTTGGGCTCTTGAGGTTCCTTAGAGCACAGGCATTAGGGGGTTTTTATCCCTTTTTGATGTTGTCTGAGCTTTCGGGCTCCTTGCTGTGGTACTGGGTGACTAACCTCCAAAGCTGTAACTGGAGGCTGGGCTTGTGGCACTGGGACAAATGGCTTGGACTGGAGATGGCCACACAGTTAGGTCCAACTTTCTTCTGGCTGATGTTTGGGCTCTACTTTGGCATATGTTTCTGTGTCTCCATCTGTGGAGTCTGTCTCCCAGGAGACTTACCTGAAGGAGAGCTTTGAAAGGGAGATCAAAGCACATGAGTGCAGGGAAGTGGCCTCAAACTGGAGCTGGATGGGGTGACTTCGGCAGCCCTGCTGTTGCCCGTCTGGCTGCTGGAGAGGAACGGCTGGTTGCCCAGGCAGGGGAAGGACAGAGGATGTCACTTGATCCGTTCCTGCTTCACGTGAGTTACTGCAGGAATACGCTGCCTCTGTTCTTTCTGCCCTGAGCTGAGCAGTGACCGAGTCAAAAAAATACTATTTGCTGATTGAAACATCCTTGTGTCTGGAAGCTGGCTGGGCCAGCGGTGTGCTGGCCCTTCTGCAGTGAAATGCGGTGTGTGCAGTGCTGTTTTCTGGACAGGTCCTAGATCGGGCCTCTCTTCTACTGCAATACTTCGATACAGGCTTCCCAGGTAGGAATTCCCTCATCTCAATACCAACCACGTGTGACATTTATCCATTTCTCCCGGCTGTGTGGATGACAGGTACCAAAAAAAGGATGCCAGCGTTCCTGCTGCGTTGGAGGGTCTGTTGGAGCCGCAGCAATGGGAGGAGGGTGGTGTGGTGGTGACAGATGGCTGGAGGTGCTGGAGAGCCTGCCCGGAGCCGGCTGCACGTTCGTTAGCGAGTGTACGGTGATACCCTCGCTGGGCGGGGGGGCCAGGCCAGGCTGGCCTGCTCTGCCAGCTCTGCCAGCAGCACTTTCAGCATCATTTGCCTTAATCACTTGCACACATCCCTTGCGGTATTTTTAGCAGTTGCAAGGACCCTGGGTGAGGCTGGCAGGATTGCTGCGCTGGGGTGATGCTGTCCTACCATATGCCTTACTGCGGATGATCTGTTCCCTTGGCAGAGCCTCTGTGACCATGGCAGTGCCACCTAGTAGTCATGTATGCCACAATTGCCACCAGGTAGTATATGCAGATAATGTGTGTGCACGCGTGTGTCTGCCCCACAGCTGCTGAGCTGCTTCAGGCTTGGCTCTGCACATAGGGGACAACGTGGGACTCGGACCTTAGCTAGGGGATGTAGGTGTTCTGCAAGGGTAACTAGAGGCTCGTTGTTGCCTGTGGTGGAGCAGTGCTGTCAGGGCTTGCGAGGCCCCTGCGCGTCCCAGGCAGCGCGTCGCATCGCTGGCTTCTCTGCTGACGGGGACCTAGGCAGATTGCCAGGCAGTCCATGGGGTAAGCTGGGGGGAAACCTGGGAATTGTGCTGTTACATTGTGAGGGGTTGTCAAAATCTAGTATATTTTTACAAAACACTCCTGTTTTGACAAGACAGCTTTTTCTGACAAAATCATGTTTCATGAGCTAATTCCCCGCCCACTCTTCCTCCCACCCGTCCCTATTGCTCTCTTGTTGGCACACTTGCCATCCTAACACCTATATCCAGGAGCAGAGCAGGCGCTAACGCTGGCAGCGTCAGGATCTGAGTTACCGTCCTGCAGCGGCCGTTCCCTGAGCCTCTGCCTGCTCTCTCCATAGTAAGTAGAACACCAGTTGTATGATGCTGCTGCCATCAATCCCAAACAAAAGGCCTGTGCTGTAAACTGAGGTGAGTTTGGAGGATGCTCCGTGATAAGTCCATCTCTGCTGTTAGTCTTCACTTCTTGGGTGTGTTTTTAAACTAGATCTGGAATGAATTTGCAATGTTTGCCTTCATTTATTGAACCTTTTTGTTGTTGTTAAAAGCTAATTGTTCAATTAATGAAAAATCTTTGAAAAGGGAGCAGAGTCTGAATGGTAACAGAGCAGTTTTGTTAGTCACCTGTGGCTGTTCCCAGAGCATTTATAGTGGTTCAGATGCTTTGTGCAGCATTATCATGTGATCTGAATTTAATTATCAAAGATGAAAAATTGTTTACCGGACAGCATGGTTCAAAAAATGATCTCGAAGTCCAGAGATGTGGGGACTCAGGATATGTGCCTTTTGTTTGCGGTGCTGCCAGCAGCATGTGAAGAAGTCAGGGGTTTCCAGGCTTTGGGCATGTCACAGACTGCCCCAGCCCCAGTCTCCTCTGCTGGAAAATACGGGGGAGATACTGCTCTAAAACTCTTCAAGGCTACTGAAAAAGCACTGCGTGGGAGCGAGGTAATGTTATCGCTGCATCTACCTAAGTGTTCCTTAGAATGACTCGGGAGCAGCTCTAAAGCATGGGGAATCTCAGCCGGTGTCGCAGTTGGACACCTCAGTGAGTGGTTTGTGAAGCAGCTGCTGAAAGGTGCCGGTTTGCCTCCTCCCAGGGGTGCCCGTGCCACATCCCACAGCCTGAGCTGGAGCTGCCTGTCTGGGGGAACCCCCCTAACTCACGTCATGCTCAAACCTCAATGCTGCTCAGCGGGATAAAAAAGCTGATTTCTTTTTTGCAGGACTGAAGTCATCCGTGTGATTCATTTTGATCATTTCTGTTTAAAAATAGGTTCAACTTCTTCATACTAAACTATTTTAAATCTAATTGTATTCCCAAATAGTTCTTTACAAGACACATTTTCAAAGCCATTTCTTTTTGCTAATAACATAGCTCTTTCTTTCTGCATTTATATTTTATGATTGTTTGAAGTAATTTTCTAATTTGTGAATCACGACTGTATGAAAAGGCATTCTGGTAATTGTAGCTCACTTAGCAAACTTTTGGTTATAGACTGTCAGAATACAGTCAATTTGCAAAACTTCCAAACCTCAGCATTCCTTATTGTCAATGCCATGTTGGCAGCAATCGATATGATTGTTTAGAGCACTGGGGATATATTTTTTCACAAAACTACCAGCAATAATTACAGAACAGCGCATTCAGTCTCTGCGCAATACTGATGGACTTTCAATTTTATGCACTTCTGTTGCTCTGTAACATAATTCCATATACAGCACTGCTGATCTGCTGTAGTTTTAGTTTGTAGTCAACCAGTTCTTCCTTTGTGCTTTTCTTTTTCCTAGCCAGTTTGTCTGCCGTGGGGTATTTCCCTTGATCAGTGGTCCGGGTAATTCCTCTTTCCTGTCCTCTCCTCAGAACTCTTCTCCTCCCGCAAGACCTTGGCCGGCTGATGACTCGTTGTTCCCTCACAAACGTCACTTACAGTAAAAGAAGACCATGTCAGGTTTGCAGCCAGCCCGTGGTACACAGTGCTGTAGTTAAACTTGCCTCTGAGTGTTTCCCCAGGGATTTCAGCAAAGAATTTCTCAGTCCTATTCCATTTCTCCAAATCGCCTCAGTTGCAATTGCAGAGTAATGATTCAGACAGTTCTGATTTTCCTTGGTTCTCAATCTGAGTTCAACTTTAGCAGACTTCAAAGTAGTGTTTCAGATTAAAATTTGAGAGTTCTAGTTGTGGTTGTGGTCTCTGGGGGAGAACAAGCAAGTTTTGAGTGTTTTTTGAGATTTGAGCCGAATTTTCCCTAACTCTCAAGTAAGTAGCTCTGTTGCTGTTGGGATGCCAAAACTCAGTTTTTCTGACACTGCTGATACGTTACCGGTCAGCTCTTACCTGTGGCTGATCCGCTCTGAAGGACGGACCCCGAAGGACGCGGCGTTGTCCCCGAGGTGGTGCTTGGAGGGACGAGTGTCCTGGTGCCCCAGCTCCCGGGTCCCTCTGCCGCTGCTCCCCGCCTGCAGTGCCTCGCAGCCCGGCTTCTACTCCTGGCTTTGAGTGTACTCTGTCAATAGTGCTGCAGCTGACATTTCGAGACAAGTAATGTCAAATGGAATTGTTAATAACATTGTAAAATTTGTTTTGTAACATTCCTTTCAGCTCTAATTACTGGTAATTTAAAATCAAATAGCTGTGCCATTAGTAATGTATTTGTCACTTCTGCAAGTAAGGTTTTACAAAAACATTTTAAAAGAGCAAATACATTATTTTATATTGTAATGAATAAAGCAGATAGATACAGAATATTAAGCAGCCAGCCTGCAGGAAGTGAGGCAGATGAGGCTGCACAATCAGGCTGTGGAGATTTAACGTGCGACTCCAGTAATACAACATGAAAAATATGTTTTGATTGAACAGACTGGGATTGTCTGTGTTGTCTTCAGTGCTGCACTTCCTAAATACATTACTTTAAACCATACGTCAATCTAAAATAAATGTCAGGACAAAAGATACCGCCTTTCTTTTAGAGACTTGGTACAGTTATGTTTTGAAAGATTTAGCAGATTTCAACTGTTGTTGTTTTGTTTGAATTAAAACAGACTGAACGTATTATTTAATTCTGCAAATCTAGTTAGGAAGGGAAAATTGCTCATTTTATTTTACTTCTATGAAATGTAACTTGTAAATATTTATAAATAATCAGTACAAATCTGATTCCTGAAATAGATTGTGCCTATTTTGCACTTTGTTCCCATCTCAGCAGACAGTAAGCAGGACGTGACAGATGCCTCCCGCCCTGACAGCCCTCTCCTCTGTGCTGTGTGACCTGGGCCAGGTACAGGTTTGGTAGATGAGTAGGAAGCTGGTAGGTCTGCAAGAGCACAGACTCATTAACCCTTGGGAGGCTGCAGATTTATGTCCCCCTCCTGTTTGTCACCAAGAGACGGTGGCCCTTTACTCCTTGGGCAAGGGTAGCTACTGGTGAGGCTGGGAGAGAGAAGAAATGCAGGGTCCCTGATTTCAGGAGCAGAAAATCACAACAATGCAGGAGAAAGAAAAGAAGGAAAACTTTAAAATCTTTAACTCTTTTCCTTTCATGTGAAAAAAATAATGTAGGGTAAAAACCTGATCTGCCAACACCACAAACTCCATTAATTTATGAGTAAAAGCATAAGAACAGCAGTCAGGGGTTGTTTGCTGAGCTGTTGGGAGGAAGTTCATTTTGTCTCGGGTAGTCTTGAATGGGAAGAAGAATTTGCGGAGAGAAATTAAATAGTTGGAAACTTTAAAAATAAGAAAACATTAAAAGATTGCAAAGCTATTAAGCAAAAGGAGAATAAAAAGGCAAAAAAGGTAAAGAGCAACGACAAGAATGACAGAACCTGTTTTATACAGATTCCTGTGATACATCCCAGAAAGCAAAGTCCGAGGTATGAAGAGGCAGCGCACTGCCAGATACACACTGCAGCTCCGGCTCGGCTCAGAGAGGTGTCCCCTGCTGGGAAAAGGCAGAAGTACTTGACAGAAGAGATGATTTTTTGTGTTTCAATGAAAAGTGTGTGAAGTGGTACAATAGGTGTTTGGTCAGTTCTGTGTACATCTGGGCCAAACTCTGGAACTGGGTTTCAATCAGAATTATTTTTTTCTCAAAAGCCTCGGGCTGCCCATGGTGAAGCACAGCAAATAACAACTTTAGCCTTCTGAGGGGCTACTTTGAAGGAGAAAGCAAACATTTCAGTGTAATTTAGTCTAGACTGCCCAGAATAGCCTGAGATTTGAGAAGAGGAATGTAGCCCATCAGGGATTCGGTAATAATCTTAGGTATTACGCTATTAGTAATAATATGCATATATAACACTATCAGTTCTTTGTAGCTCTAAAACCAGCAAACTGAAAATCACTAGACTTGGCCAGATAAATAATTTAAGGTAGTATATAGAATCTGTGTAAATAATAATGGTAATTACCATAGAAATAATAAGCACAGTAAATACAGTCTCTCACCTGGACTCAGCTGCTCTGTGAATCTGAACACTCCCCACCTCTCAGATGTTAAAAGCTTGGGCCCCACCAGCTTTTGAGGTTCCTTCCAGCCTGGGCTGTTCTTTGATTCTGTGTTTGCTAAATTCTATCCTTTTCACAGGAAACTTGACTTCATTGACAGCCTTGAACCTGAGACACTGTCCCCTTGAATTCCCACCTAAAGATGTCATACAAAAGGGGTTAAAATCCATCCTGTGCTTCCTTCGGGATTCTGGGAATGGCAAACTGCACTGCACGGAGCCAGCCCCGTCGGGTACGTTGGAGCTGTTACTGGTGTGTGTTTGCTGTGGTTGCTTTGAAAACGTGGGAACCAAGGGACCTTTCCTTGTGGGATCTTTGGCTCATGGGCATTGTCCATCTTTGCATCTGAACAGGATATTGCCAGCTGGAATAAATGAGGAATAGAAAAGCTTCAGTGTTGGGAATCTTAGACCCTTTAGTGTAGAAGAAGAGGTGGTATTTGTATGAGAGGAACCTTAATTACGTGTGATGTGGTTAGAGAAACAGGAGCTGAAGTTTCAGCAGAGGCTGTTGGTTAGGATCAGCAGAGACACAGTGTGAACAGAGGGTTGGGCCGTTTCATTCAGGTGAGAAATGGCCCGTGTTGGTGCTGGGCACTGGGAGCAGTGGAGAGGGTAGGGGGTGTCTCTAGGGGGTGCAGGGGAAATGGACATACCAGGGCAATGAAAGGGGACACTTAACTAGCAGTGTTTTCATATTATGTTTCAGCTCACATTCTTCAAAGACAAGCACAATTTGCTTTTTCATCGCAGTTTCTCCTTTTTTCCCCCCAGTATTGCAGTTATAAATTTACATTAGGAGGGTAAAATTAAGAAGTTGTCAGCAGAGAGGAAAAGATGCAACATAATTTGCATTATTTATGGTCTGATGGGTTCCAGAAGTCATTAATAATATAAATACTGGGCATATTCCCACACAAGAACTCTCCTCATACTTAAGCTTTCCTGTAATGAAGGCTAATTACTGTGGATAGCGTTAGTATCAGACTGGAATTAGGGGTGTTAAAATGTGGTATCATTAAAGGGAATGCAGTAAATTCAGAGTATGGATGAGCCACTTAAAATGCTAAGAAATACAGTGAAATACAAAAATATCAACTCAAAATACCATAATGCTGAAAATTAAGTCAAAATACTGATGTAAAGATCATGACTAAATTTTTTCAGTTCATCTCAGTTCCATGGATGATGTCATTAAAGGGAACTATGAACATCGCCAGAACTTCCTGCTGCGTTTGTTTATAGAGAGTACTAAAATGAAAGGGAAAAAAGCTGCTGGTTCCATTTCTGCTTAATGTAGCTGAGGCTAGTGTCTGTTTTTCTGGACTTGGGCCTAATGCCAGGTGTAGGGGTTTACTTGGTATTTCATCAACAACAGAATAACCTTTGGAATCAAACAGAAAAACACTCAGGAGTGGGAATAAAATGCCAAACATTTACCCTTAATTTTCATTGGAACTATTGTGGCTCTTGGATATTCAAAATTATACCTTTTATTGACTTTGAAAGTGTTTTGGTAATAGATCTTTGTCATGGTTGCAACACGTGGGAATGCTTCGGTCCAATTAAACTAACATTTCTCTGGTGTTCGTGCGGAGTTTTAGTGAGCAAATATGCAAAAATGAAGCCAAACTCCTGCGCAGTTGGGCACCCACCCCTTCTTACAGTACTTACTGATAGGAATTCTCCCCTATTCAATTAGGAAACTAATTGATCTTTGAGCATGTTTAATTGTTACCTAAAATAAAAAAATCAGAGTAGCAACAAAAGCATGTATTTTTATGTTAAAGAAGTAAAACCCCTGAGCAGAAGCAGGTATTGATGTCAGAGGCATCTGGCCCTGTATATCTCTGTGCTGTGCTCCCGACGTATTATTTTTCAGAGATCACTTTCTCTACTCAGCAGTAGCAATTTAGAATTAATTACAGCTGATCACTCTTCAAGTTAGCATGTAAGTGAGGTTTGGAAAAGAGCAGTGTCTGACAGTGGTGTGTTTGTGCGGAGAGTGAACCATTACAGCTGTTCTTCCAAGTTCCTTTGCACATTTGTTACACTCTTCCCTTCAAAATGAACACATAATATACTTGAAACACTGGTTATTTTGATTTTTAACTCCCCTTCAATAGTCCTGAAATTTTTGAAGATTGGGTTAGTCTTCAAAGTAGCAAATCAAGAGAATTTTTTCTGCTGATTTTTGTCTGTGTAAGAGTACAGGAATGCACTCTGATATATTTAACTCAAACACAGTAGATTAGAATGACAAAAAAACCATAAATTGTGCTCCGGAACAGCATTGTAACTTAGTGATGTTAGCATGTTTACTGTTAGTTTGGATAGTGGTATATTTAAAGAAAAATAATCCCATGGACTTTAATATTCTGCGGGCACACACGTGAAGTTTGGGAACCTTCTGTAATAGGCAGGAGTTTTCTGCTCCCTCCCGCACGGCCCATCTGTTCCCCTTGGCCAGGAGCAGGGTGTAAGAAGCAGAATATACATCCTGCACACAGAGAGGGTAACAGAGTGCCTTGGAATAATGCTGCTGCTCTGAAACGCAGGGGGAGGGAGATGAAGTCCCATGTGTTTCTTCTTTAGGATTCGGGGAACCTCCTGAGCCTCTGGACCCAAGCCCTCGTCTGTCTTACGGTCTCTCAGCTGGAGGTGAGCTGTGGGGTGTTTGGTGGTTGTGGGTAGTGGTTTGGCAGGGAGAGGTCTGGGGGACAGACCTGACCCAAAAGGCCATTCTGGGGTGGTCGGCTATTGCTGAGCGTGGCACTGCTGTGGGCACCCTGCTAGCTCCCATGCACAAACCCCAGTCACCCATATGTACAAGTGCAGTATAGGAATAAGAATGTAGATACACTCTAGAATCAATCATCCTCATGTAAATATGAAAAATCACTAAGTTCAGTTGTATGTGAAGGTTAATACCTATAAAGGTGTAATTTGAGATAGTGCTGATTATGTTTAACCTGAGATGCCAGTTGGGATGAAATGCAAGGTGTGCTGAAGCTTTCATTGGTACTTTGGTTGTTGTCGTTACATTACCTCATACATTTAAATTGGTTATGTTAAAAGATCTTTCCTGTTCTGGCTCACAGATTGCATTTGGGCACTTGTAGTATGTTAGTGATTATTGTATCTGTTTGCTTTGCCTTTTTACTTTCTCTGATACATGGAACATATTTTTAACTCCTATTCATCATGCAGAGAAGTTTAATTCAGTCATACGCAGTTCATGTTGTACTTACTTATACCCAAATCTACATTGGCAGGCTATAAATGCTGCAGAAGAATGAACTGAAAGAAAACATTAGGGCTATGAATAGCTGTAACTCAGTCGTTACACACACACATTATGTGAGCCTTCATTTCCACTCTGTGTTTTTTGTCAAAGCTGGGATTTTCCGCTTTTGTGTCCTACTCTGTTGTTCCCACAGTGTCTGTGGCCTGGCCGTGTCCAAACCCTGCTGAGGTCTGTGGTGGCCTTGGCTGCCCAGGGCTCAGAGACTATGGCCACGACCCTGAGAACCAGGTTTCTGTGGAGCACACGTGGCTCTTGAACCCAGTGTAAGTGGGAGGTACTGAGCATTTCACAAAAATGATGTGACCTTGAGTCAGTCTCAGCATGGTGGAATTGACAAGAAGTTGGGTGAAGAGCGTACAGAATTATGGGGTTTGTAAATTGCCAATCACAAGGAAGGCAGCCTTCTGCTCAGTCATCAATGGACTGTTGGTTTCTGCCAGAACACAGACTGCTTTAAACTTGTGACAAATCTTTGAGAATATAACAGGTATTAAAAGAAAAAAAAAAGACCAATGAATCCCACTTGTGTTTGACTGATTAAGAGTATCTAAATGGTTGTGTTTTGCTTGGGAAAAAATCTAACTTAATTGGTACATAGGATTACAGTAATCTCCCTTTAATTTCAGAAGTGCCACCTATTGAAAAGCTCAACCTAAGTGAAGTGTTGCAGTCCAATTTGGATTTGTCAGAGGAGTGGCCTAATGAAGAGGAAAAGCTGAGATTTCAGAAGCTAAAAGAAGAAATTATAAAAGATGAAGAATGTCTTGCTGACAAACATGTAGGTGCAACGCAGGATTTTACTGAAGCAGGGAAAAGGCACAGAGAGAACAAGTCAGCTCATCTTTGCAGGTGACTACACTTTGCACAACGGTGTATGATGAGGATCTTGCAAGTGCTGGAAAACTGCATTTCTACTGGAAAATATAAAAGCATCTTAATATGAATTATTATATTCATTGTCAGATATGTATTTGATTAATAAATAGTATTTTTAACCTAAATATAAAGAATACAAAATTACATCTATATTTTCTATTATTTAAATATATTTTACCCAAAATTTAAAAACTATCAACCTATCAACTATCAACTGTTTGCTTCTTTGTGCTCAGTTAAATTTACTCAGTATCCAAACTCCCCAAGTTTAAACTAGTCCAGAGATGAAGCGTGTAGCTCGTTACCGGGTTCCTGAGCGATTTCTTTCTCTGCTGGGCCTTTGCTGGGGTCTGTTTGGCCAGGTATATCTGATGGGTACTGTACATTGTTCAGCTGCACATGGCTAAACACATGAACAAGAGTAGTAACAGTCACCTCTTAAATTATGGCTTTGAAAGTTTGATATAAATTAACTTTTTCAGCAATAAAGAAATGCTTCAGGAATGGCACAGCCAAGCAAAGCTGATGAAAGGAAAAAGAGAAATGTTTAGATTTTCACCTGCAAATGCAGACACGGTACGTAACAGGAAACAGCAAGGTAGGACACTGGAAAACACAATCCATTAGTGACACCCTTTGATATATTTTCTTTATGGCCCATGTATTTAAATTTAAAAGTTAAAAAGAGAAACCCAGAACTTTAAATGGCTGCGCTTTGGCAATGGCTTTGCAGAGCCCGTCCCCGGTGTCTGCGGCCGGTGGCTCCTGCCTGAAGCGTTGCAGCCCCGTGTGGGAGTCACCAGGTCCCTCACAATCTGCAGTGGTTCCAGTAATCGGCTGCTTGGAGGTGCTACAGCAGAAGTGCGTGTGTTGAAATAGGGTTTTTTTTAAATTACTGAACATGTCCAATAGGATATGTTGCCAAACTGAGTTTGAAGTCAGCTGGATTTTCTGGTTCCCCCAGGAATCTCTAAATGCTGGCGTGTGAAGGGAGGGACCTTGTTCCTGGTGCTTTCTGAGTCTATACCAAAGGCCTGAGAAGTTCACACAATAAAAAAGGACCCTTGTATTACAGGTTGCAACTTCCCTAGAATTGTAGGGAAATTTGCAATTCAACATCTGACCCCACCAAACAATTTTTTGTATATATTTTAACAGTAAAAACAAAGTAGCCATGCTTCCAGTTTACTAGGGGCTCTAATCTCTCAGATTTTTTTAAACTAAGCCAAATTGTGTTACTGAATACCTCAGTGCTTGGAGACGTGTCCTTCTGAACTGGAGTTTATCAAATCACAGGTTACTCCTGTCCCACCTGGTGGGAGCCAGGTTCCCCGGGTGGGGGTGACGGCAGCACCTGCACCAGTGATCCCCGCCAGCTGTGCAGGAACCTGGGATTCTCACCTGGGCACTTGATTCACATTAATACAACCCTTTTTCACCTTTCTACTCATCCGTAGTGTGACATTCCCCACCGCTTAAACAGCAGTTCTGAGCCCTGGCAGCAGGACTTTGCTGGCCCTGCAGGGCTGTGGGAACTCACACCGTGTTTTTCACCGAAAATGTAGGCACTGAATTCCTGCTGGAGCTCCGAGAGCTGCCCCGGTGGGTGACTTGTCCTGCTGACACTGGGCAGGCTGCTTCCTCGGGGTAGGAAGGGCTTTGGTTTGGCCAACCTGAGGGATTGCTTTTAGCAGTACAGTAATTCGGCTGGCATAGAAGAGAACTGAATGTTGAATGGCAAGAGAGGGATTAAATATACTGTTATGTCACACAATTAAACATTCCTCATTTTTCTCCTCTGTGTTCCCACATACATAAATGGGGAGAATAATGTGTTCACTTCCAGGGAACAATTCTTCAATTTCTCCTGTACAAGATTATTCTTCTTTAAAAAAACCCCAAAGAAGCCGAATATATTTAGGTATTCGGAGAGCTGTGAGTGCCAGGCACTGGTAAGGGGTGATGTTTAACGGGCACCGCGCCCTGAGCCGCCCCCGGGCGTTGCCTGTCCCCTTGTGAACACGAGAGGGCGCCACAGGACCGCGCACAGCCCGCGCGCCAGCGCTCGCTCCTCTGCGGGTGCGTTCGCGTTAATTCCTGATAAATACGGAAATTAAGAAGAGATTTGCAACACGCTCTCATATTTTCATACCAGCAACGCTTAATTTTCACTCTCGCGCTTGGTGTATTTCTTTGTTCTCTGATTATCTTGTTAGAAGCAGTTTTCATATTCCTTGATGTTGCAGAGAATATTCCTTTAACCCTAAAGATGGAAGCCCCTGGCGCGGTGTGACCGGGGGGAACGTACGGGCAGTGTCCCCGCGGTGCGGGCAGCGGCACAGGGACAGTGCCCACAGCCCTGCCGGGAGCAGCTGGGGGGCTCCTTACAGCACTTGTAATAGCTATTATTTCCATATAATGTGCTGGCCTTATATTTTGCTGTAGATACCAAAAAGTACACCATATGCCATGTATGACATTGGTTGTTATGCCATGAAAGAGGGAGCTGAGAAATGGGACCGAGCACCTGCAATAAAGGAAGAAAAGTTGCTGAAAGTAAAAGTTGAAGCTGCAAAGTGAGTGCTAAAGTTTATAAGCTGTTCCTACATAACACCATTGATGACTTCCAGTTAATTTTGTTACTATGAAAGTATTTCGATAACTCTGATTCTATGATTTCTTTTTTTCTGTGAAATAAAAAACCTGCAGCCTAACCAACAAACACTGTAGCTAAAAGAGAAATAAAAAATCAAGTTAATTACATGCTTATTTAAAAATAGATCGTTTTAAAAGGTAATCACTGGTGCTTCAAGACTTGCAGCTGAGTTATATGCATTTGCTTCTTCACGTACAATGCAATACCAAGACAAGAAGCATGCTGCTAAAACAATTCTTATTCTATTATAGTAACAATTTATTTCAATAATAAACCAACTATTGAATAGTATTTCTATATCGCCTTAATACAGTGAGTGTGAGCCAGGGGGCTGACTAGAAATGGGGGATCTCTGGTCCTTTTTGCAAAATGGGCTAAACAAATCCAAAGGGATGGATGGCCTCACCTTGACAGGCTGGTCCTGGAGTAAAAATGTCCATTCTCAATTGCTCCAGCCTGGCAGCTGGGCCAGAAATACCTGAAATCACTCTTCTTTGTGAGAGTTAAAAAAAAAAAAAAAGAGAGGGGAGAAGCGTGAACATGTCCCAAATTTTTAAGAGCCTGTAAAATGTGTGATGCTGGTTTTAGAAAGTGTTCAAATTAAGTTTCAGGATTTTTTCTATTTGGTTCTAACTCATATGGGGAAAGCTTGAAATGTGCTGTTTGTTTTGCTGATTACAAGATGTGTTGGTTTGCTCCGTTTTACACTTCTAAAAATACGAGGCTATAAGCTGACTAAGTGTATGGGCATGTTCCAGTTGATAATCTCAGGACACAACTGCTAAACAGAGGCCTGTAAATCAAGGAAAATTTTAATCAGCTTTAAAGAAGAACACACTTTACTACACTGTCTTGTAATATGGAAGAGAGGTGGTTACAGGTACCACTGCTATGGCCAGGCAGGTCTGATGAGCACAAAAGAAAAGTACAGTAAATGCATTTATTTAGCAGTTGTTCATAATTCAGTCCTGTTCTTGTCTTGGCTTTCACACCTGCACCTTGAAACTGGAAGCAGAAGGGTCACGGAATATAAAGCAACTGAAATAATAATTTTGCCATGTTTCCTTAGGTATCTCAGAGAACTGAAACTGGAACAGCGCCTCAGACAGCACATGGGCATGATGAAAGCAAGAGGAGAAAAGTTAACAGGAACATCCCAAGTGGGAGCAAAGGAAGGAGAACAAGGCATCGAGAGAGTGAGTGTCTTCTCTTTTTCGGGAAATGCGGTAAACCCAGTGCTCTGTGCTGATGAACACTTGTTAGGTTGGCATTTCATCAATTTCACAAAAATCTCAGGTAGCAAATATTTTTAAATTAAGTTGCTAAAAAATTAACATTTTCTTTTTTGCTTATGCTAAAATTGTCTGTATGTATGTGGAAATGTACACAACATGCACATATATAAACAGACATAAAACATCTGTAGTGCTCTGAGTCTTTGAAAAAAAAGTCAAAATTCTAAGACAGAAGAGAAAACCCAAGAAAATCGTAAAAGACAGCCAAAGGGCCTCGGCTCAAAGCCAGTTCTGCCTCCACAGCCGAGGCTGATGGCGATTCCTGTGGGTATGGGGTGGTGCATCCTGTGCACATCATGCTTTCTAATCAAGCAACAAGTCACTTTCACTAATGTATGTAGGTGGCATCGGTGGTACTAAACATGGCAAAGCCTTTTATCAGTAAGGAATAACATTGTAGTAATAAACAAAGCCTTTTAATAATGCACAGGGAATATGAAATGGTTTCAAAACTGTTTACTTGCTCCAAAGAGGAGCAGAGTCCATGGAAAGGCTGTTGGGATGCAGCCCCCTCTCAGGCAGCGGTGGGAGCATGTTCCTGCTGGGAGGCACCCACCTGTGGACCTTCTGGTGCCCTGGGGAGCCCGACCAGTCACCGGGTGGAAATACTGGAAATGTGCACGTGGCTGTGGCCGCCTGGACTGATCACAGAAAGGCCAGGGAGTTCACAGACTCATTTTTGCAGTGTTTGCACCACTTTGGGAAAGAATAAATTCTGATTTTATTCAAAGCATCTTTTGACCTCAAAACCGAAGTGACCTAACGCACTAAAGTCCAGCCTCCCTAATCAGCATAACAGGGCAAACGAGTCCGCTGCGGTGCACAGCGTCTGTCCCTCTGCCAGGAAATCCTGACACTGTTCTAAAATTACCCGTGTCCCTCCCGCTCCATCACGTCATGCCCAGCGCAGGGCGAGCTGCGGGCTCCCGAAATGGAGCGCGTTCTGCAAGGTGGGGACAGGGCTCGCCCATGACAACACGGGCCTGGCATTCAGGAGTGGACTTGGCAGGGCCTGCATGTCCCGTACCGTGGGCTCCCTTGCGTGGCTCCAGATGAGGAGGGGCCTGGTTGCCCAAGATCCCGTTCCGCAGTCAGTATCCCCACGTGCTCTGTCACTGCAGAATGTCTCTGGGTGGCTGCAGTGCCAGGTATCTCCCCACAAACCACTGCCTGCCCAGCTGGGGCCGTGCAGGGCAGGGGAACTGCTGTCTGTAATGACTGGCTCATATGTTAAAAGTGGTGATTACAACCCAAAAAGGAACGTGTCACTGGATGGCAGCTGGGGAACAGCTTGAGTTCATTCACCCAATCTAAGCCGCCTCCAGCCTGGCAGCGTGCCGGGAACACCTGGGCTTGCGCTGGCGCGCAGGAGCGCGGCTGCAGAGCGTGCGCTGCACAGAGTGGAGAGATGTCCTTCTCTTAGCTTAATTGTTTTCTGTTTCTAAAAAGTTATTTTTAAAAAGATACATGGAATGGACTGTCAGGAGCCAAAGCTGCAAGTATCTCCCGGGTGTCTCTGTGAGGGTATGTATGAGGTGTGTGAACCTGGCGTGATGGCCTTCAGCTGCTCTGGAACCCACAGGTGTTGTACTTTGAACGTGACTGTGTTGTATTCCACTGTGTTCATAACACACTGAACAGTAAAAGGAATAATGTTTTAAAATCTCTGGTTGTATTTCTAAAAAGCAGACTATTTTCATGAAGAATTTTAAGAGCCTTACTGGATTTCCATCAGCTTTCAAGTTTACTCTGATTTTGTGAAATATCTTAAGTGAATGAATATGAATCTTAATCTGGTAAAAAGTGTATTTACATATCAATATTGAGTTGAGGCTATTCACAAATACATTTATTAGTAATAGTAATAAGTTCAGTAATACATGTAGTTACTGCTTATTACTTTCAAAATCTGTTGAGCTCCAATGCTTCCAGCCCTTTTCTAATCAGTAGCTGCTTTACTCCTGCACACTGCCCCGTGCCTGTATTTGCACTGAGGGGATTAAACCCCCTGGTTTCACTGCAGCTCTCTGGACACAGGCACACGTGTAACGTCACACAGGGCTGGGGCTGCAGAGGGAGCAGGTAAAACTCTGCCCCGTTAGACATGTGCGCTGCTTTCTGGTCTTAATGATATATGTTTATATAGCCAGTCTCTGTTCTTTCGTTTGCTTTAAATCCAAGGTTGAAGATCTACGGACCAAGCTGACAAAACCAAAAGGCCACCCCCATCCCCACAAGTGTTGGCTCACGGCTTTCATGGGGGAGATCCCACCCCGAATGCACACCCGAAAGAGCTTTTCTAGCAGAAAATTCTGATTGCCCGGACTATTAAACTGTGAGAAGCTTTACCTCATCAGAATGAGGGGTGCAGAACCCTCCTCTTCTCACTTGGTCTTCCCAGCTGCATTTGACAGTGGTGTAGAGTGTTTTCTTCAGCCTCTCTGCACATTTTTCTCAAACATGCAGCTATAGGCTTATGAAAATTCTGTAAAAATAAAATTCAAAAATTTTCCCTAAGGTTTGGAGCAGCCATTTGTAATGTTGTGCTACCAGTTGCCTGATTTCATGAATCATCTCTGGCGTCACACTGCCCTAGTCCTATCAGACCAGCATGGGTCTTCATCACAAACACTGTGTTTAAGGTTAAATGGTAGCGTTAGATTTAAAGCTACTCTTCAAATGTAGAGTAGACTTATTTGCATTTTACTGTCCTGAAGGCTGTGTCCTTCTTCCAGCCATGAGGGACAGGAGCATGTCTCAGGGTTTCTGTCCTTGGTTTGGAGCCCTGTTGAAGTGTGGGGGCCGCCGAGCTGCCCCCAGAAACACGTCAGAGGAGCTGAACTGGTGCCAGTGATCTCCCAGTACCACAGGGACCCTGGGACAGGGGTCACGGTACTGAATTCCACTGATGGCAGAGCTTTTCCTCCCTCCTGTGCTTTGTCTTCTCCCTCCATCCCCATTGCCACAGTCCCCTCGTTTGTCCTCCTGGGACAGCGGAGGTACCTCAGGTGTTGCCTCCACTTTCTGCCAAGTCTACATGCCTTAAAATGTTGGAAATGTTAGTCACAGGAATCAACATTAATGCCACCCAGCCGCTCCGTGGGGACAAAAATCCTTTTCCCTCTGCGAGTGCAGATTTCCCTGTGCTCGCTGACATCAGAGCTCCCCTCTCTGCCTGCGCCTCGCTCTGAGCGGGTGTTCAAGGTTTTGCAGAAAGTCAAGGCTGCCATAGAACCACAGTTCATCCCGCCCCCCAGACACTGCCAGTGCAACATTTAGAAGTTTCCACAATAAATAGTAACAGTTCAGTTGATGTTTTTTGTTTTTATTTTGCTGTTTAAATTAACAGAGAAAACAGCGCCCAGTACTGTTCACGTGAGTAAACATTTATCAGTCCTTTTTGGCAAGTCTGTACTTAAAACCTACATTAAGCTTCAAGGGTTTGCATCTGGGTCTCGGTGCTTTGTGTCCCCTGAGAAATCTGGGTTGGTGACAGCAGAGACACCTGGAGAGTCCCCTGCGAGCCCAGCTGCAGGCGTCTGCTCAGCCCTTCAGGTGACAGCAGGGTCCTTCCGTAAGAGACGAGTAAAAATATACATGTTATTTGTAATGTGACTTATCAAAATGTAGAGTTCCGAAGAAACTTGGAGAGGAGTGTGCGGGTCCTCTGGGAGATAATCAGAGCTGGGGGGGGCACGGGTGGGTTCGTGGGATGTGACACGGAGCGAGGGGGGCTGGAAGGAGCCCTGCTGTGGGGAGAGGGCCCGCTGGCGGGTGTGTGTTCACCAACAGCCCTAACGAGCCCCCGACACAGCCCTGCCAGCAGTCCTTACAGAACGGCATTCTTTAAGTAGCAGATGCAAGGTTAAAAAAAGGATTTTTCCCTTTTTTTTTTTTCCCTAAAACTCGCATTTAAGAATTACTTGATTTTTGTTTTTCATGGTTTTGACCTTCATGTCGCTGAAGCCCAAAGGGGCACCCGTCCCTCGAGGCTGGAGGGTGCTCGTTGGTTTCTGCAGGGTCCCCTCTCGCTCTGCTCCCTTCCAGCCACTCGCCCCGGTCCCCCGGCCCGTCCCCCAGCCCCGCGGGGTCTCTCCAGCAGCTCCCGCTCCTCCGGGCACCGGGGGGCCCGGCACCGGTCCCACTCTCCGGCCGGGGCCTGCCCAGGGCAGAGCTGGGGGGGGGCACCCCGGGAGACCGCCGGCCTCTCGCCCACACGGGCACGTGGCTGTGGCCCGGGACTCCCGGTCACCCCCTGACCTTTGACCTTGCGGGGTCACGCGCTGCCCCCGCCCCGCCAGGGCCCGAGGTTCCCGGGAGCGCGGCCCCGCGTGGGCCCCGTGCCCACACCCCGCCGCAGCCCCGCGGCCTTGACCGGCTCTCCCCCGTCGCTCTGAAGCGGCTCCGCGGGTCCCTCCCGCCGCAGGAGCCCCCCCGGGCTCCCCCTGCCCGTCCCCGGTGCGGCACCAGCCTCTCCTCGGGTGGCGGCAGCGACGATTTGGGGGAATTGTGTGTGTCCCCGTTTTTTTGCTGAGCTGTGACACCCCCCCCCCCCC